CCCCAAAACCCCAAAACCCCAAAACCCCAAAACCCCAAAACCCCTCATCAGCCAATTATATTGAATTTTGAAATCTTATAGTAGCCCAAATACTTAAAATATGAATAATCTAATGCACACACAAAGCGAAAAACACTTGCTTGAGCCTTCTACCAACTTTGCTACTTCGGGCAGCATCGAATGGAGAAAGGTTCCAAAAATTCCAGAGACCCAACCAACCCAAGAAACTGATGAAAAAGTATGTTGCTCTTACTCCCTTTCTAACTGAGCGTTTTTCTAAATTTAAAACTTATAGATCCATCACCAGCCGGCTCAAGAAAGAAGCCATAGATACAAGATGGTTAAGATCACTGAGAAACTAGAGTATGAAGACTGAGAAGACTCTAGTGAGATAGGTAATAATAATGGAATTACAAAAATAGAAAGAAGACCTTCCTCAAGCCCTAACTCTTGCACTCCCGAGCAACTCTCAGGTAAAACTCACTATTGATTACCTCAAAGAAAAGAGAATGGTCATGAGTTTGAAAATATCCAGCTGAATTTGAAGAAGACGCTTACTGAAGAGAAGAATGACCGGAAGATTTTGATCCCAAAGGTTAAAAAAGTAAAATTTATCCCAAACAAGAAAGCTGAGAATCATAAGTCGAAGCGCCAAAATATAATTTATTGAGGCTCAAAAAGAAAAACTAGCTTCGAATGTACAGACCTTGGTGACAGGAAATCAGTAAAGCAGATACTTATTTCAGAGAAATGATTGGACCAAGAGTTACTGTTTAGTACTGGGAGTAAATCTGCTAGTACAAGTAGCCAGAGCCTTAAAGAGATCCCACTGAAGAAATTAAAGAGTGATGATAGTCTGATTCTTGACCAGGATGATAGCAAATTCGATCTTGATATTCCGGATAACTTAATGATGAGGAAATCAAAGTCTCTGTTCCCACCAGTGTTCTCGTTCTGTCCTCCAGCTCCTCATAATACAACGAAGTTTTATTGTCAGTTGAGAAAATTACCGTCATTACCCAATTTTGAGAAGATAGATGAAACCAGTGACGAAGAGACCTTTTCATTTAGTGGAAATATGCAAGAGCCATGAGAGTCTATGTGAGGTAAGAATACTATTTCTTGAATCTTTCTTTCTATTAGCGAAGCCTCCTTCCTTAATTTTCAAATAAGCGTTAGTCTAACCCTATACTATAGGATTGGTTACTGGAGAAATGTTTTCATAAAATTGGAAATACTTAAACTATTGTAATGATCGATTCTTGATTTCAACATGCCACCTTGGCATTGGGGTTTTGGGGTTTTGGGGTTTTGGGGTTTTGGGGTTTTGGGGTTTTGGGG